TACAAATCCCACTGTCTCCTTGTGTTTGGAACAGAGTTCAGTTCTGTGACAGGGTCTCTTTTCTTCCATTGCAAGAGTTCCTGAATAAATTTCTTTCTTTTTTTTTTTTTAAATGACATTATTGTACAACCCTGGTGTTCTTAAACACTGTAATGGGGCTCCATTTTCTGACTGGCTCTATGTCTTTGCCATCTTTGTGAAATGGATGTTGAGGCTCAGAAATCAATATCCCAAAGTCTGGCATTTTGGAATGACATACTTTTTAAATCAAAGAAGCATCAAGGCCTATCTGACCGTATCTCTCCTCATCTCTACTTACATCTTCTCTTTTCCAAAACACAGGCATTTTACTGTACTTGAAAAAAATGAAGGACCTTGGGTATTTTCACTCATGTGGTCACCAGGGCTCTTGGTGGTATATTCTCATCTTCTCTATTTTGTTTTGCTTTAAATAAAGTTTTATTTTTTTTTACTGCTTTAGCTTTTTGTATTTATTTTTTGACTTATAATTATGTGCATAGGTGCGTATCTGGATGCAAGCATAGGCGCTCACAGCACCTGGAAGATCATAGCAGATCTCCTGGAGCTGGAATTACAGGCAAATTGTGAGCAACGTGAACTGAGCCCTGGAAACTGAACCAGGTCTTTTTTTCATAGAAGAATGAGCTCTTAACTGCTGTGCCAAAGCTCCAGACCCTCCTTCTTACAAACAAAGTCAGGCAGCTACTACAGGAAAGGCCCGGACATATCTTTGTGACCCAGAATGTAAGCCATTAGTCACTAAATTAAAATAATAGCCACAGCAATGTTAATCATATAGGGCAACTAATTGTAAGGATAATGGCATCTAAAGATACTTACTGTTGATATCTCTGTGCTTGTCAGAACTTCAAGCCCCGTCTTGTTTACAGACAGACCTCTTCTTGGCAGTCCACCATCCTGCCCTTCTTTAAAATACTCTGTATTGCTTTGGTTGACATCTTTTCCCTACATCCAGAATAACCAAGATACATGTCCATGACTTTCATGATCAGTGTGTAACAGTGATGCAGGTGTATGATCACACATGAGAAGGAGGAGCCATACTAATAGTGTACATTGATAAACTGATCCTGGTGCCAGGGGCCTAAGAAAACCTTGTTTTGCTAGATACTAAATTATTTTCCTCTCCTTTGTTTTTCTTTCGTTTGGTTTGGTTTGTTTGTTTGAACTATTATTTTTTTTTGAACTATTATTTTTAAACAGTCTTCTGTAGACCAGACTTACCTAGTAGAAGATGATCTGGATACTCTTGCCTTTGTCTCCCTTCCCGTGTGCTAAGACTGAAATACTTCCCCAGCCCCACAATACTTCTTTTACATATGGAAGGATGTTGAAACAGTAACGAGCCCTGTAGAGTGGATCTTAAGTATAATTAGAGAGCTGTGGTTACTGCCAAGGTGTGCATGCTACCACTGCACCCCTAGGGCTATCTTGTCCTGCTTATCATTGTGTGGTTCACAGGTATCATAGCAACCATTGGTTGCTTCCCTCCTTTGGGAGCTTGCACAGTACCTTCTGGTATCATGAAATGTACTTCTCTGGGAAGACGCTTTCAGGGATGTTGTAAGGAGGCCATTAATTTGTTTCTTGGCCATGTGGCAGTTCAGACATGAAAAAAAAATCACACAGAAACTGTATTAATTAAAACACTGCTTGACCCATTAGCTCTAGCTGCTTATTGGCTAACACTTATATCTCAATTTAACTCATTTATAGTAATTTGTGTATTGCCACGTGGCTGTGGCTTACCAGATAAAGTTCCGGCATCTGTCTCAGGAGAGGCTACATGGCTTCTCTCTGACTCTGCCCTTCTCTCTCCCAGCATTCAGTTTAGTTTTCCAGCCTAAGTTCTGTCCTGCTATAGGTCCAAATCAGTTTCTTTATTCATTAACCATTAAAAGCAACACATAGACAGAAGCATCTCCCACATCACAGGGAAGTTTCAGTTCAGGGTCCTCCAGGTTCACATAGTACCTTCATCAATAGGTACTTGCCTTCCACCTATGGGAGCGATCAAGGGCAATAGCAATAACCTGTAATATTTGGGGAGTCTCTTGGACAGCCATTGGGTTTCTTATGCCTGGTGTTGGGTTTATGTAAGATGGTCTTTGACTCTTGGGGGAGGGGGATCATTGTCAGCCCAGATAGGAAATTTTCACTTAAATTCTCTATGTCCATTTTTACAGCAACTAATGTGTATTATACGTATTTTTAGGTAGGTACTTAATAAATAGTATGAATCCTTATGACTTTTACAGATGTCCTTACTATTATTTTACCCTCCCCTCCTTCTTCTGTATTTAGCTCTTTCCCTCTTCCTAAACAGAATCCCCCCTTTCCCCTTACCCACTTCAGATCATTTGCACCCTTCTGTTCACCTCTTTAGTGTTCGCCCTGCTTGACGGACCCTTTTCACTTTTGTGGTTATGTACTCACATCTGAAGATTTGGAGCTCGGAGCCTCGGATAAGCAAGAACATTGAACATTTGCCTTTCTGGATATGGGTCACCTCACTCAGTGTAGGATTTTCTACTTCTACCCAGGTCTCATGACTTCAGTTTTCTTTACAGCTGAGTAATACTCCATAGTGTACATGTACCACATTTTCATTACTCATCCACCAATTAAGGACACTGAGGCTGTTTCTGTTTCCTAGGGTATTTGTCAAGTTTCTTTACAGCAGTGGTTATCACCCTCCTTAATGCACAGGCTCTTTCGTATAGTTCCTCATGTTGTGGTAACCCCCAACCATAAAATTATTTTGTTGCTACTTCATAACTGTAGTTTTGCTACTGTTATGTATCATAATGTAAATATCTGATGTGTGACCCCTGTGAAAGGGTCATTCAGTACCCAGAGGGTTGTAACCCACAGGTTGAGAACCGCTGCTCTAGAGTAACAGAATTTACAGAATGAATCATTCATATATATATATATATATATATATATATATA